CTCCGTAATGTGATGCTGATTAATAAAGCGTTTGAATAATCAAACGTACAGTTATTGGTGCAAATAGCCTGAGTGGTTGAAAGCGCCATTAAAACAAAACAACGAGTGTGTATAGGGATTGGACTTGTTCGGAGGTACCCCTCTGTCCCATTTCATGCCCAGGATATAGCAACAGTGTCTTTAGCTTAGCTTAGAGAATTCTGTTTATGTTCACGTGAATTTGACTGATTAGTTGCAAATGGCCTATTGGCAGCGGACACTCAGACTTTCAAAAAGGACCTGCTACCAGTTCGCTCTTCATCAAAGATACAACTGTGGAACGCTGAAATATCACCTGCTGGCACCACTAGGTGACAGACTCCAGACCTGCAGAAAATTTTCAAGATAATGCTGGCGAGACGGTTAATGTGGTCAACTGGTTTGGAGATAAAACTCCAAATCGTATGTTCGGGCTACGAATTAATGTAGAGATTGGCATGCCTGTGATCTTGGCAAAGTCACATACCCTACACCAGACGTCTTTCTCTAGGCCTACAGGAGTAAGTAATACTGCGATAGCAAATCAAGATGACTCAGGAGTTTTCGTGAACAAACTAATGTAACACTGAGGCTCCTTACTGAGGATGACATCACAGTTTTGCTCATTAAAATGGAAATACTCATTGGCATTACAACCAAAAAAGGCATTAAAATACCCTTTGAAATAATGAAACAAAAGTTGAGAATAAGGTTAACCAAGGCATAAAGGTGCATTTTAGAGGTTTGTAATCACAAAAATTGATTGCAGGTACCCTTTTAGGCGAAAGCGAAAACGAACGCAAATTTGTGAGAGCGGCCTTTAAGCGTCAAACGATGCGAACGACGGTAAAATACTATGCCAAAAATATTTCTGCCGGTATATTAGAAACCCAGCGCTGCCACGATGTGTATCTCGGATAGCGTAAAGGCCACTTCAAACTTCAGGCGAATGCAAGAGCAAAGCGAATTTGGCGTTACAACAAATTTGAAGCGATATTTCACCGAGTTGAAATGCGTTGACCTTTTATAAATTCGCATTGCGAAGATAGGATCTGCCTTCCAAAAAATCGCGTTCACTTTTGCTTTCGCGCGAAGAATGAACCGGCCTTGTACCGTCTGAAACGTTGGTAAAATTCACTGCACGACTGGCGGTTCAACACAATGGCACAAACTTCGCAACAGGCGGCGCACGCCCACGCACCGCTGATCGGTAGCCTCGACAGTTATAATGGTGAAGGGGAAGGTATCCTTAACTATACTTAGCAACTCAACTCAGTAGTAATTTTAGGAAATTGTCATTGCCGAGGATAAAATAGGCTCCAGTTCTGCTGAGTGCTGTAGGCCCCTCTACAGTCATGCGGAGGCTACACAAGTTACTGAGGAGACCCACACAGAACTGTATGAACTGTTGATCGATACCACTACGGAATAAAACGTTTAGTTGTGTCAGAACGATTCCACTTCTGTAGAAAGGGTCAACAGCCATCATTGCACAGTATGTCATGACACTACAGAACCTGGCCAGTACATGTACGTTTGGCCAGTTTCCTGATGAAGCATGATTGTGACGAAGCACCACACTAAAGATGGACTTACCTTCAAAAGCTGCATTGGACTTGCCAAAAACCCGAGACAGCCTTCAAGGACCTGCTTGAATTTAAGAGCAGCCCTTCTGTTGACTTGGCATCAGTTCATGCACTGTACATAAATTCCAAGCAACCGTACAAAAAGCCACCCTACAGCCCCGCCCCAAACCTCAAAAAGGAAGAGACGCAGTAGATGCGGCGGAGATTCCAGCAACCAGTCCTGCTCAGCTAGTGGCTAGAAGTGTAACTAGTGCCAGGAACTTGGTCGGTATAGTGTGTCGAGCTGAACTGAAGAAGTTGCACACAGGTCAGAAGGACCAGATATGCGGAAAATAGAAAAAATGGTTTCTTCGTTCGATCGGTACACAAATCCTGGCAATGACATACAGAATGGTGGCGCGTGGACACAAGAAATCAAGGTGCAGGACCAGACAATGCAGTTAAATACAGGCTCAGAAGACAACATCCTACCTGCTGATGTGAATGAATCACTGAAGCTCATGACACTGCAGGCAACAACCTTTCGTTTGCATGGCTACTTTGGTGGCAAGGCCATAACCCTGGGGCAAAAAATCTGTTCTGTGAAGTGAAAAATCGTCAGTATTCGTCGGTGTTCCAGATTCTTGCCGGTAACAAGCCTATAACTGGCTAGCTAGACAGCATGTAAAGCACTTGGTTTGATACAGCGGGTGTACACCACGATGAATGAGAAATGTTCGAAGGCCTAGGTTGTCTCCAAGGCCCATCAGTTGACATAAAGCTAACTGAGTCAGATATGCCGTACTGCGTGACCGCTCCTTGCAGAATTCCCTTGCCACACATTGAAGTTCATCAAGAGTCGGTAAGAATGGAAAGTAAAAGGCACTCTGAAGTGTATCAATGAGCCAACAGAGTCGAGGGCTTAAATGCAATAATCCCAAAGAACCAAAGAAGAACAACCAGATTCGACTCTGTGTGGATCTGAAACACTGAACAAAGCTGTGCAGGGAGAACATTTCACTATCCCCAGCCTGGAAGAGGTTCTGGGAAAGATCACAAGTGCACGAGTGTTCTCCTTACTCGATGTAAAGCACTTTTTTGGCAGATACCCTGGCCATTGCCAGTCAGAAATTGACAACATTCATAATTTCATTTGGTCATTTCTGCTTTGCACACCTCCCCTTCGATCGGTATCACATCAGCGCCTGGGCTGTATCAGAAGGACCTACTAATGAATCTGGGCGAAGTTGTTGTCTATATGGATGACATTCTCTGATCTCATTACCGACCGAACAAAAGCAGAGCACGATCAACGAGTGCACCGTATCATCCAAATCCTACAGAAAGCTGGCCTACTACTGAATAAGGAGAAAACAATGATTCCTCAAGAAAGAATTATCTTTCTTAGTCTAAAGTTATACGCGCTGATCCTGCGAAAAGCGCAGCACTTGTCCAGATGTCCCAACCGACATCAAAGGATGACGTCACGGTAAAGAGGCTAATGGACATAGTCAAATGCAGTGTCAGTGGCAGCCACAATCAATCAGATGCCAGTACCTATGGACTTTTAGGATTTTTGCTTCAGCAGCAAGAAGATGAGACTGGGGTGCCAGTGGCTTATTGATCCAGTACCCTGCTAAGAGGAACTGTGCCCAAGAGTTGGTAGAAGGTGTATGGTATACGAGAGGTTCTATGTCTACTGCAGAGGGCTCATGTGACACTACAAACCGATAACAAACTACTGGTGTCTTTGATCAATTCCGAGGACCTTTTTAATGCACCACAGATGTCAGCACTTGTTGATGCGCCTCATGTGATTCCACTGCACTGCTGTGTACTCACCAGGCAAGATCCTAGCCATTGCAGATACCCTGCATAGAGCTCCACTGCATGCAGATCAGACAACTGATTGCAGTATTATGATCTTGTAGCCAAAGTTGCAGCACATGTGAGCATGTTGACCGACCAGAGGCCATGCAGCCTCAGATGCTTAATTTGTAGAAATCTCCAATGAGACAAAGGAAGACATCGTCTTATCACTTGTATTGTCGTATGTAACAGGTAGTTGGCCAAAGTATGCCAAAGATGTGCAGCCTGGCATTAAATGAAACATCAACGGCATCATCATCCCGGAGAATATGCAGGCAGAAATGCTGCAGGAACTCCATGATGAAGGTCACAATGGAGTCACCAAGACCTGACTCCGTACAGTCCAAGGGATACGTGGCCTGAAATTGGTATGGAAATTCATAAGCGGAGATCCAGGGGGATGTGGGAATATATCCCCAACTTTCTGACGGGGGGGTACCAATATACATGTTATCATTCCCCCACGTTTCAAGTCACTGACTATGCGCACTCTTAGCCTGAACCACCGACTCTGCACTTGCCAGCGTCGATATCTCACCTTGGATGGAGGCCGTGCTGAGCTTTCAGAACTCCCCCCCCCAAAAAAAAAAGTGACAAGAGATCTCCGCCTATGCTGACATTGCTCAGCACATTCACCCGTGTGAATTCTGCTGAGAAAAACAGCCACCGCAGAAGGCCATCATCAGACTTACTGCACTGACACCAAGACTCGGAAGTGCTGCGTTGGTCATTAGAGCTCGAATGGGATCTGGCTGACGCACGATACTCTTGGCAACATGAACACCTTTTTCGGCCCGCCCGTTTGCCTGAAAATAGTGTGGACTGGTGGTTATGTGGTTGAAACCAAACTCTTGTACAAAACTCTCCCTGGAACTATGGGCAATCTGACACAATTTCGTACATTTTATATCTTGCAAAGGTAGTTTTCATGAAGTTGATGGCTGCCAAAAATGTTGGCTTCACAAGATGATGGATCTCTATTTACCTTGAGTAGTAATCAACGATCCCCAAGTACACTTTCCGTCTAGGTTCTGCAAGATCGCAAGCAACACGTTGCCATGCTTGTGGTAAAGGTGTTAATATCTGAGTTACGGACTCGACTCACCTACCAATGTTGCCCAAGAATCTCCTTCGGGAGCTGATGAACCAAACAGAGCTGAAACAAGCAGATACTGCATCCAAATCTAAGGGAGAAGTGAAAGTAAAAGTGATTGGCGCTTAGTATCGTCAGACTGGGGGCCATATTGTCCGGATACCGCAACCACTAGCTGATCTGGACTTCGATATCCAACTGGAAGATCCAAAGCAACCAAATACTCAGCAAAAGAGAGTGAGAAACTCTCAGCGGATGAGGAAACCACGCACCAGTATGGCAGAAGGGTTACGTCATGTTTTAGAACTCAGAATTGTAACTGTCTTCACTGAATCACTCATAATCAGCTGACATCAATCAATCTCAAAAAGTCTCACATTAATTTCAGAATTACGCACTCATTCCTAATTATTAACAAGAACTCTAGAAATCTGCATGAACCAACATTGGACTCTAGGAGCTTATTTCAGACACTGAACAATTTCTAGACTCTTGTTATATTGAACACTCGAGACTCAGAAGTGTGTATAGCGTAAATGTGTTATTTAACCAGTTAATGTCTGTTCCAAAAAGGAGAGATATCGTGTCTCAACATCGACTTCATGGGCTACGTGCGCGTTTCTTCACTAGCCCCTTGTCGCGTAGAATACAAAAATGACGCTCACTGGCTATTCAGGATGAAATAAATAAACGTAAAGTTACTTGCGGGCGTATTTCAAATGCTGCACGCTCGCGCCCACATATTCTCTTGCACGTCACGCACGCGTAAATCTGCGTTGCGTGTGAACACACTGAATAAAATCCTAATTTAAATATCCCATATAGGGTGCGTTCGATTAACTTCCCTGAACACACCAATGTTACACGCAAGGGAAACCTCGAAATGAGGGTAATCGAACGCTGCAGTGTACTCGCCAAGGCATTCTGGGAAAAAGGTCAAGTCCCCGCCACGTTCCGTCATGTACGTCCATGGACGAACAGTCCATCCGTGACGTCATTACACTCGGGCAGCCTCCAGAGCTAGAGACCCGCTCGCCGTGAGGTATTTAAATTATACAATGGCAGGGGTTAGATCGCGCAAGGCATACAGTATGGTGGGAACTAACAAGGCAGGGCAAGATCATACCCATGGGAACGAGGTTGGTCTTGTCTATGACATGAACTACATGTAATAAAAGAGGGTTCCAAGATGGCAGCCTGCCAGTACTGGCCAGTGCTACACATGAGTTTGACTAATTCACACTTTCCCTAACTAACGCTACCCGTAACATGTAGGCTACATTCTTGGTGGTGTATGCCCATTTGTTTTGTGTCCTTTGGCAGATTTTCAGTGTTGGAGCTCGAATACGATTAGAGAAAAGTAACTTTTTATAAGTCGGGCATATACGTAGAAAGTAGTCATGGAACGGTTACCTCGATTGGAGATCAGATTTCAGACCGTCCTTCGTGATTTGATTTGTACTGATTGTAGTCTGCTCCAATGCGTCGTGCCAAAGTTCAGTCTGTTACTCGGACCCCTGCAACCGACTACCCGCATGATAAGGCAAGTCCATGAGGATTAACAACGCGTCATCAATATCTAGTCTAATGATGATTTGTGCATGTCTAGGTCATACATCATGCACGCACTCGGCAATCAATCAAGGGCGCCCTCTGTCTTAGGTCTGGGCTCTGGTTGCGTCGGTTGCAGGTACTAGCGAACCGTTGAGACCTCACGAGCTACTCGTAGACAGACGATAGACGATAGAAGGAGGTCTGGAGAGCTCCCTTACGGTTGGCCAGTGTAGTAGCCTACTATAGCGTAGCTCTGTTATTTCGAACTGCCGGTTATTAAGACCTCACTTGAGATTTGGGATGAATTGATTGGAGACAGTCAGGATTATTTAAGAAGTGTTGGAGTGGGGCTCCCAGGTGAACAAGTGGTGAAGCTGGGACTTGCCTGTTAGCGTAGCTGCCGCGCAGTTGATTGCAGCCTTGACGGTCTGCGAGCTTGCTCTACCGTTGAGGTTTTACCGGGCGTAGTTTCTGCAGGGTCCAAATCACTTTCTTAATTGGCCCACGTTATTCTGTGCGTAAGAGTATCGTGAAGTGTGTGGTAGGGTTGCTCTGGTTGGGGATTACTTATCATACGTTCTTGGTGCAGTTGACTATACGTGAGGGCATGTGATTCTACCTCCATGGTGAGGGTCACTTATCATAATTCTCTACTAGTTCCCGTCCAAGACCTATACACCTAGTGTCGACTTCTTCGGTATGCAAATCAACAGTTCATCCTCAAGAACGCCTCTAAACACCTCAAGAACAAGAAGTACACGGGTCACAATGTTTTCATCACAGAGCACGTAACACCCAAAGTAAAGTGAGCGTAAGGAGCTGCGAGAAAATCATTTACGACGTATCCAGAAGGATGAACGGGTCCACTTCGTGTGACGATACCGTGGTCGGTAGCAGCGATGATCCGTTACAAGGTCCGTAATGGCCGGTTCAAATCATATCGTTGGTGGAGTTGCATGATCTGTCACAAGCTTCATTGGTTTGCCTAATGCATGTATGTTGTTTACGTAATGTGTATTTGTTGTTTTTGTCTTATGCATTCTGGTGTAAGAGTGTACATCGTAGAGGTTTATTCCTATTCTAAATTTGTGTTACTCATTTTGTTTTTTCTGTGTAAGGATTTGTATGAGTCACGTAATTCATGAATGCGTTATGGATTACAATGTACATTCAAATTAAATCTCCAAGTACCAGAATTCACTGTCGATATTTTGACCAAGATGAGTTCCTGAATAATTTTCATTTGAACACCAATACTAAAATTCTGCATATTAATGCTCGCAGTCTGCACAAAAATATAACAAATATTGTTAATTATGTACAGCTATTGCAAACGAGCTTTTCTTTCATTGGGGTTTCAGAAACTTGGTTGGAGGACATACAGGATCCTTTAATCCAAATTCCTAATTATACTGTAGAAGCTAGGGTTTGTGTAGAGGCGGGGGAAAAGAGGCGGGAGAGTCGTACTTTACATTAAACAATATCTCGCGTACAAAGTAGGCCCCTATACGTAATGCTTTATGTTTTAACAATTCTGAAACAGAATCATTCTTTGTTCAACTGGTTGATTCTCACTGAAATCAAACTCTATAATTGAGACTGTTTATTTTCATACTCAAATTATGAACTCCAAATTTGCAAACTGAAAAACATTTCTGTGAAAAGGATGCTACCTGGCTTATTGCCATGTACATACAAAGCAATAAATTGCCAAAGACAATGAAATCTATACCATTATAGTGTTCAAAAAAATCTAGAAATTTCTAGTGCACAGACCGGTGCAATATTGAAATTTAGTGCCTTGAATGATATAGTTCTACTCCAGAATATGTAAATATGCATTAGCATAAAAACCGATAAAGCTCTAAAATATGGGTTAAAGTTGGCTAAACAAAAATTTGAAATCAGGTTAATTGAAACCTGAGTTCCGATTTCACGGGTTTAGTGAAATTTATTACAAAATTTTCATTTCATGGGGGCTGTTGCCCCGGGACTCTCTTCCGGGGGCGTTGCCTCGGGACGGGGGGTGACTATGATGGCACGCAGGTCCTAGTTATATCGCATGTAAACGTACATGTATGAGCCCAGGAAAGGACAGGGGGGTCACTTATCCTCTCTCTGGCTCCTTATATTTATTCAAGTTTGGGCCCGGAGGCCACCTGTAAAGATATGGTAGGCACTCTTAAGTTCCATTTCTACATTTTGAATTTGTGAACAAATATGACTTACAAAAAATAATACGCACACATGTCTAAAGCAGATGCTTAATTAAATATTACACCATTAAACAAGGGATGAGAACCCTAAGAAACACAAGCAGGGATGGCTGCATCAAGCACCCAAAGATGGAACTACGAACACACTGGCCAGCCTTGCGCACTGACTGACCAACACACACACTTTCACAGACTACAAACACCCATTCCGCCCCTGAAATGCACGATAAAGCCATCGATCCATGTAACCCTCACAAAATTATGACGCTGATTACAGGGTATACAGTTGTGTAATTAAACCCGTTTAACTTGCAGAAAATAAATTACCCAAATAATCCAGGATTTATTTAATTTTGAAAATCATCCACTAATCATACTAGATCACTAGTTCTAGAACACAAACAATACACCAAAGAACTTGTACTGCTCATCATGCACACACACTGCACATGACCACACTGTGTGTGCCATCAGTGTAAACATGGGCTGCATACCTTGTGCGTTTCCTTGCAGTGCTCCCTAAATTTCTCATGAAAGATCTCTTCCACAACGGCTTCCACCTTAATAATCTATAGCCTGACACAATAAAGGGCACATGAGAGATGATCATCTGATTATTCAGTAAAATTGTCCTGAAAAGTGGGCAAAGGAAAACAGCACATTTACTCGTAAAGATATGGCAGGCATTGCCTTGTATGCCTAGCAACCGCATGGGCTGAGAGCTTTTAAAGGGTAACATGTAGTCGTGCAAAGTACAAAAATTAACCAAATACAATCTGAGCAACACTATGACTACAATTGCTTTATTAAGAAATATTCCTTATCACAATAAACATAATGGTTCATAAAAATTTAAGTCTACTGTTCCCTTTTCTTAACTAAGAAAGTGTAGTCTTGCTTCAAGTCAAAGAGTGGATAGTCTCCACTCAAGTCAAATTAACAGTAGAGGAAGTAAAGTGGGAAGAGCCAGAGAAAGGAATATGGAAGAAAGAACAAAAACCCACAACTGGTCATCCATTACAACGGTTTTTTAAGTAGAGGAAGATGGTAGATGTGGAAGATGGTAGCACATACTGGATATGATCCCGCTTTCCTAGTATGCCCATGACAAAGACTTTGCCTATCATCCATATCACAGATTATGTTAAATTATTGAGCAGACGCTGTTCCACCTTTTGCACGAATTGTCGCAAGTCCTTGGCGAGTTGGTCTGGCACCTCGAAGGCAGCGAAGTGGCCGCCCGTTGAGTAAGTTGTGTAGGAGACAATGTCTGTGTAGTGCTGGGTCGCCCAGTTCTTCTGCGCTCGCGACAAGTCGTTTGGCAGATCCGCCAAACCGGCGGGCACAGTGTTTAAGAAACTGCAAATAACGTCAAAAGCCAATCCGTTAATAAAAAAGATCAATGCTATCTCCCTAAAAGCTATACCGGTTGCTTTGAGTCGTGTGGCGGCAGATCTTGTAACCACACAAATTCAATAACATTCCCTTAATAATGTCGTGTACATGTCAATAAGTTTTTGCTCTTCTGACAATTTAAATGGATTCATTGACCCTCAAAAGTGTTCTTTTTGTGGGCTATAACAATTTACCTTATTAATATTCATGACAAATTGACGTTTTTAGCTTTTATCCAATCAAAGAAAATTAGAACTTACTTGCTCAACGATCTGGAAACTGGCAAGTTCTCTTTGTACAAGCGCATAGAAGACGTAATGCACTCAGATACCCAATAAATCATGACATTGGTTAACAGGTCGTCTTTGGACCAATAAGCATCGAGCCCGCCGTCATCCAAGTCAAGCCAGTCGTAATTTGTCCAGGACGAGAATTTTTCGATGATGTAGGCGGCCAGTCCGACTGGAGAGTCGGTCAGAGCGTGACCTGTGGTCAAGAGGTAAAGGTTACAAGGGCTTTGAAGGGATTTTAAAGTAAGCTGAAGAAAACTGTGGCCACTTTGAAGGTAAAGAATTTGACACGAGGTTGTATCGGGTGGAAAGTGGCAGTCGGTGGGCTATGCTCGTCATGGGGTTATAAATATCAAGTATAGGGTTAAACAGACACAAGAGTTTGATAAACTTGGAGCATCCTTACCGACTGTGTCCGGCTTAGTGGCTTGTATATGCAAGTACCCTGTCTCCATCAGCCAAAATTTCAGCGACTCCCAGCTCGGCAGCGACCTGGCGTAGCCTTTGTTCTCCAGCACCAGGGACGGGAACAGGCTGCCCAAGATAATTTGACTCACAGGCGGCTGGACGAGTATCATGTTCACATGGATGCCGCGGACGTGACTGCAAAGTTACAAGCAACAACAGGACCCTAATTTAAATCTTCCGTTCGAAAGATCGTGGTATTTGTTCAAATGCCAATTGCCCGTTAATTAATGTCCAGTTAATTCTTCATATGTTTTACCCAGTCCCTCAAACTATACTAACCTCAAACGGTCGCACGGGAACTTTGTCAAGCATCTTTTACTCTTTTCAATAATCTGATCGGTTATCGAATTTGGATCGAGGCGGTCTTAGGCAATGCCATACAGCTAAGCAACGCAGAAGGCTTTGCAAAATAAATTGTACCCACTTTGGGAACATGCCTGCCATTTGGTCTGTCACCTTGGCGCCCCAGTCACCACCCTGGACGTAGTAGCTGTCGAATCCGA